CTATTGGTGATTATACAATAGAAGATTGTATGTTCAAGGATCTATTTTGTATAGCACATGGATTCTGTTATAGGAGAGAATATTTTTTTCTGAAATGTTTTATTTTGTAACTAGATTTCTTTCTTCCTTCTCTCACGTAAAGTGTATGTATAATATTATCTGAATTGTATACATTTAGAAAAGCAGATTTACCGCCATTGTTGTTTTCATAATTTCCTTCTATCTCAAAATTAACAATTTTCATTAAGCATGTGCATGTTTATTAGGTAGGATTTATTTTGATATAGTGGGTTTAAAGACGAAATTCTTATATGGTTCTAGTTTTCTATTTCCTGTGCAGAAAATTGAATCTAAACTCGCCTGGTAGTTATGAACCACACACCTCATTTACAAAATAATTTACTAAGTGTTATAGTTTTCTATACAATTAATATATGTATAAAAAGTTACAATATATAAATAATCCTTCTTAGATGCATGGTTTGTACATGTCAATAATGTATCTATAGATACTTCGTTCCCGTATTTGAAACAAGAGGTTGAAGGGAAATTGGATGTTAATATGGTAATCGATTAATTGCCAACCTATCATTTTCTGAATTTATTTTTTGAAAAAAAATGAGCATATATATTACATTCAAGTTCTAAAAATAATAATAATGCTAGGCTATTTATATGTTAGGTTCAAAATGTTAGGAATAATATTATTCATTTTTACTCACATAATAATTACATCTTTTGCTGCAACTAAAGCATATTTGACATTTTTCATATAATCATTCAACTATTATGTAGCTACTGTGCAACTATTGTGTAATTTCTTTACATGTCATAGTTTGATTCGTGAAATATATTAATATTAAATTTAATCTCTGTGTTTGAAAATTATTTACTATTAATTCTTAAATATAAGCCATTACGGAAAGTTATTTGTATAAGATATTAAAAGAGATTTCTACAATTAGTCAAAAAAATATAAGAAATCTATAACAAGTGCTTTCCATGCATCTCATGAATCCACACATTGTCTTCCTTTCCAATTTCCATATATACA